ACTGACAATAATCTAATTTCCCCATATTCCTGCCTCCTGGGCTTCCGACTCAGATTTTTTCATTACAATAAACATATTTATTTTAAAACTAATCATCTTTTCCTCCATTGTCCTCTAATGCCTTCACTTTCCTAATTTATTTTCTTCCTTTGTGGACTAGAAAATTATTATGGTCATGGATTTTTAATATGAAACATCAATTAACATGAAATCAAAACATCAATACAATGTGAATAATGAATGTACTATTATTGACTGAATTGAATCCACAGTGTAATACAATTTTAAAATCAGAGAATATATTAAAAATATAATTAAAAATTATGGACTTCAGCTTTTAGATGTGGAATTCTAAATTTTTATAATTGTTGTTCTTTAAAAAGCAGGGTTAACAATTACCAATCATACTTATGTTGATAATCCTAAGTGCAAAATGTTGCATAACAGAAGAAACTCCAGAAATGCAATAAAGAAAGTACATAACTTAAAAGTCTCTTGACCGCATTAATTTTAATAAGTAGCAGTAAGTTTTCATTATATTATGGTACAACTCATATCATACTCCCATGGAGTGACCTGGAGAATCACTTAAAAGAAATTTGCCAACCTTCTTGCCAGCCACACTAGAAAAAGACTTTGTAGGTATTTCTAATCTCTCCTTGTTTTTCCCTCTGGAAAATTTGTTTCCTTCTATTATTCTTTCCTCTCTGGGAATAAATAGGATCCCATCCATGCATATATGCAATGAGGCTAGCATCTACCATCATTTCTAGGGTCTAGAAGGAGAAAGCCTGTCTGAAAGTACCCCTGTACTTTATAAATGGAGAACATTACATGTTGATGGTAGATTGAGTTTAGAAAAGATGGAGGACACTTTTACATGGCTCCAATACAGAAGGGTTTAGGATTAATGAAAACTAGCAGCTTCCTTGCCAGTAAGAAATTGAGGACTTACACACTGTACTTGTGCTAATTTCTGAAAACAATAACTTTTCCTTGTTAACTCTTTCATTGAACTTGAAGTCACATACAAATTTCAATGACAAGCAAACATAGACATGGTGATCTTGCTTATAGAGAATGCTTAAAAGCATGATATTCAGTCACTTTTAGTTTTTAAAATATGCTTAAATAGCATAACACATTCTATTCCTATCTCTTATTCTCTCTGTGTTCCAGCTGTGACATATTCCACATGTATTCTAAACTCTCTAAGATCTTCTGCAACATGAGTTCTCTCATTCCTGACCCTTTTTGTTTCTCTTGCTTCATTAATTAAAAATTTTGTACTGCCTTAGGGTTTCTATTGCTGTGATAAACGACTGACCAAAAGCAATTTAATGAGGAAAGGATTTATTTCAGTTTATACTTCACTGAAGGAAATCAGAACAGGAATGTGGAAGCATGTACTGAAACAGAAGCCATGGAAGAGTGTTGTTTACTGGCTTAGTGCTCATGGTTTTCTCAGCCTGTTTTATTATACCATTTAGAACCACCTGACTAAGGAAAGCATCCTCTTCAATGGGCTAGGCCCTCTTATTTCTGTCCATTAATCTAAAATTGTCACACAGGCTTGACTACAGCCAATCTAGTGTCAGTGTTCTTCTCAACTGAAGTTCCCTCTTGTCAAATGACTGTAGCTTGTTTCAAGTTGACATAAAACTAGCTAGCATGAGACCTGACCTTGTAATTGACTTCAGAGTCTATAGAGATTACTTTCTACCTTTACTTTGCTATCCAGTACACACACTTCATTTGCCTTGAGCCGTTGTACCAATCAGAGTTACTGACTCTAGCTGATAAAATTTTTTCCCTTGTGGTTCAGAAACAGGAATGATTAGGCAATACAACATCTTAGGCTGTACTTAAGTGAACAAAACATCTGGATTTTTTGTGATATGCTAGTACTAGACCAATAAAGTCATCCCTTCTAATAGATTGTTCTTTAGTCTCAAGAAAACTTGTCACTGAGTACCTGTGGTTTCTCCCAAAATTTCTCACCTTACTCCCTACCCTAAACCTCTCAAGCTCAGAGGCTAGGCTTCCCTCAGCTTCTGATTCCTATAGAAGCTCAGACACTTCCTTTTTCTGGGTTCATGTACTCTCTTGACTCCTATCTGACTCTGCTCCTGGAATTCTCTTGGCCTGCTTATCCCCTTCTTTCCTATCTTGCTCTCTCCCCTGACTTCTCATGACCATGTGTAATGTGTTGGTCATGTTCAGCCTGGACTCTTCCAGATACCTCTGCCTGTTCTCTCCCTTATATCTACAACAAACCTTCTCCTCAGCCATACCTTGTCTTCATTTTTCATTCAATTGCAAGTGAATTTTCATGGGCTAAGAGTTCTTTCTTCACAGTTCACCGTGATTAATCTACATCCATTTCTATCCTACATTGTGTAACAAACACTATGTATATAATATACAAATATATGATAGCCCATAAAATATATAAATGTATGTGTATGTATTTTTTGAGACATAGAAATATATATATAATATATGTGTGTGTGTATATATATATATATATATATCACATTCATATGTGTATGTGTGTGTAATTCAATTGTTACGTCTTCCCTTCATTACCAGTCAGGTATTCTTTTTTTAGATATCCTTAATTTGTCATTTTTATGGTAAATTTTGGTCTACCATTCCTTTCAGTGAAGTTTTGGGAACCAATTGAGATGATAAAATCAGAAGTTTCCAGATGCATGAAGGATAGTATTTTGTTTGTTCCATACGTTACACAAGACTCTACAGAATCTCTGATTATTCACAATGACATAAATCAAATCTATAATTCACCACAAAATAATTTCAAATAGAACTTTCAGCCAAATGAATTTACTAAGATATTATTTAAAATAAATGCTATTTTTTTGTTTGAAGCGTTTATATAATTTAAAGGTGAACACTGAGGATTGTTGATCTTCACTATGGCATGCAATCTTTATAAATGACAGGTAGAAGAATCAGAATATTTTAGCAGAATTTGGCTTTCTGTTGTTAGAGGTAGTTTATTTTTCTACATTTTGGAGATAACAGATTTTTTTTTGAAATAGTACAAAGTAGCTCCACCAAGCAGTTGAAAACAATACAGAACAAATACAGTAAGTGTGGAGGTTGGTGTAGGGGTGGTGTAGAATGAATAATAAGGATGATGAATCAGGAAAATGTTAGTTGACTCAGAAAAGCAAGATGTTAGAATTTGGAGGGTAAAACAATGTCATTATAACCTGGAACATGCTCAGGAAATTTTCTTAAAGATTATTTTTGGATTATAAATCTACAAGTAAATCTGGGCAAAATGAAGTATCACATTCTTAATCACCAGAGTTCATTTTTCAGGTTTGGAAATTTTCAGTGTTTCATAAGGATCTGTTTTAGTAAGGTGTGGGGCACTTAGTACTCTAACTCAGCATCAAAGAAGCATTTGGAAGATCTAGGTAAAGGAAGAAGCTCTTTTGAGTGTGTTCCTTGCTTGTTTTGGGTGCATCCTGAAATAATTAACATGATAATAGTTGAAGGGTAGAAAAGATAGCCAGTTCTCCTATTTATAGTTGTAAGAAAACTTTGGGTTTCATTTCACTTGGACCTTGTCTCAGATCACCTGATACTACTTTGATTGCTTCTTCCACTCCAAGGGTTCTTGTCAAAATGTGTTATGCTTGTGCAAAGAGGAGGTTAGAAGAGAATGGCTGTTAAGGACCCCTTTATGATCCCTGCACAGAAAGTATGAGAGCCATTAAGGTCGAGGATGGTATTATGTTAGGGGTGGGAAGCACACCAGGAGGCATTCTTCAGGTCAGTGTCCTCTTTTTTGACTTTCATACTAAGTTGTTGAAAAGATAAATGATCTGGAAACATTCTTAGACAATGATCTGGTCATTAAATTGCTTTTATTCTTTTTCTTTCAGGCAAGATGCAGAGTAGTTGAGAAAAAAATAAAAGACTTGAAACAACCCCACCCTCAATCACGTTGAAACCGACAATTACAAAACCACAAATTCAATTTCAAGGGGTGTGCAGTTCTCATAAATAGGCTAAAAGCATGAAGCCCCTCCTTAAGAATCAAGGCAATATCCTTTGAAGAGTCCTTGTGTAAGTCAATTTAATGAAAAATCTATGTAGATGCATTAGTCACATTCAGGAACCTTATGCCACAGCTTCCTATCTCAGGCTCTGTAGTAGAGCTTGTGGAAGAACAGGGAAAGCTTAGCACTGAGGGTAGGAATTCAGGTCTAGCTGAACACAGAGAAGAAAAATTTAGGGATTTTAGCCGAAGTACAAAGGACAGAACAGCAAAGTTGCCAATAGGGCTAGCTTTATGTTTACAGTTTGTGGAACCTCTCATTTCATTTTATCTCCCACTTGCCCTTCAGAGGGAGAGCAAAGGCTGCTATCAGATTGAGAAGTGACTTAATATGGAGCTGGAAGGTGGGGTGGAAGGGTGGCTCCTGGGTTCGCCCTGGGTTTAGAGAGTGAGAAGTGTTACTTTTCCCCTCCTTCCACAACCTCATTCCGGGTGTGAATTGGCTGGCAAGAGGGGGCAGAACATCGCTGAGTGTGGAACCTATCTTTCTCCAAAGGCCACAGCCTAGAAAGCCACATCTGGACGCGATCTAGAAAAATGGTCAATCTTTGCTCCCTAGTAAAGGAAAGGCCACGTGACCCGGAGACAGCGCGAGCCAGCGACCCTGGAGCAAACGTGGTCTGGCTGGCCACAGAGAATTGCTGCGCGCAGTGACCGCGGGATTAGTGGCGAGACCGGCGGGAGCCAGATCTCCTGGAGCCAGAGCCTTCCGCCGCCCGGGCGCAGACCCTTCTTCTCTCTCTAAGGCGCCGCCTCCCGCAGCCTGGGGCGGGGCTGGGGCGGAGCCAGGCTGGCCGCGCCAGGGAGGAGCGGGCGCGGGCGCGGGCGCGGGCAGATCGCTTGCAGAAGACTCACTGTGCGTTTGCTGTCGCTGCAGCTGCAGGCGACCTCTTTAGGGCCAGCTGTCCCCAACTAGGCGAGTCTCCTTGAGCGCTCCGTGTGCTGAACAGAGCCCCCGAGGTACGAGTTCTCGGCGGAGTGTGCCGCCGCTTTTCTGTTCGGGAGGTCCGGCTCCGAGCTCTTCGGACCCTCCTGGCGTCCTCGCCTGCGTCGGGGAGGGCGGCAGCGGCGCCCCGGGCATGGCTTCGGCTGGCAGCGGCATGGAAGAGGTGCGAGTGTCTGTGCTGACCCCACTCAAGCTGGTCGGGCTGGTGTGCATCTTCTTGGCGCTGTGTCTGGATCTGGGAGCTGTTCTGAGCCCGGCCTGGGTCACCGCGGACCACCAGTACTACCTGTCCCTGTGGGAGTCCTGCCGGAAACCTGCCAACCTGGATAGCTGGCATTGCGAGTCCACGCTCGGCAGCGGTGAGCCCCCCACCCCCCATGCCGCGCCCCTTGCTCCCGCGTGGCCATCCAGGGCTCCTCTGCTGCCACCGCCTCGCTGGGAGCCACCTCCCCCACTTTCCTCCCTTCCCTTCCTCCTTGCCCTACCTTCTCGGCCCTTCTCTAACCCTTGGGCCCCAGAACTCTCTTGCATCTGCCCTTCTCCAGAAGGGGTCCTGGTAGGCAAGACTCCAGAGACCTCCTACGCCCTCTACTCCTCCTTTGCCGGTCCCTCCTGCTTTGGAGTAACACGTATGCTATTTTGGGCAATTGTTATCATTGAGGGCGAGAACCATGTGGTTGTGTAAAAGACGCAATGCCTTCCACACCCCCGTTAAAAAAGAAATAGGCAAAACGCTCCAAATCTGTGCGGGTTCTCTGTTCCAACCCTGTAAGAGCAATTTGCCCAAGTTTTCCTCTAGGCCCACATTTCTTCCAGTACTATTTCACTTTACCTGGTGTTTCCCGAGTGCTGAGTGAATTTTCGTGTGTGTGTGGTGTATGTGTTTCCCCTTTAAATTTTGGGAAGGGATACCGGGAGTCAGGAGAGACTGATGAATTTCCTCTCCTTTTTTGGTGACACCGTTGTTGCTTCTGAGTTGCCTTTCTTTCCGCTCCCACAGTAAGAAACTCCCCTTTCTTCCACTTCGTTTCTCCGTGAGCTAGTTACTCACAGTTGCCTGGAAAGTTGTGTTTTATTCAGCAAGCAGTGAAAATTGTATGTGGATGGGAAACGGGGTAGAGTAGGCAGTAGCCATTGTGGCTACTAACTCGAAAGGGACTTTGTGGCTTTATTCCCTTCCTGACCCTTCAGGGTTTTTTGTTTTGTTTTGTTTTTCCCCCATTCCCAGAGTCCCATTTATTCTTCGTAGAAATTTGCCAACTTACAATTTCTTGCTGAAAACTATTCCCACTCGAATTCTGTTTCTTCAGCTGCTCGTGTGTGCACAGATTAAAGAATGTAAAAGGCTCTGCTGGTGTTTTTTTTTCCTGGCGCGCGCGCGCGCGCGCTCTAACACACACACACACACACACACACACAAACGCACATGCACCCACAAGCTCACACACAGCCTCACACACTGACCTGAGAAACTCATTAAATCCCTTCTTGACAGTTTCATGTCTTCTCTGAGACAATTTTAAGCATTGCTGGAAATGTTTCAAGTTCTGATAAAGTTGAAATAGCACAAAGACCACAAAAAAATCCGACTTTTCTTTGTCTTACGTTTTTTGTTATAAGAGAAATTAGTTCACTTGGTTAAATTTCTTCCAGAAATTTAATTTTATGCTTACAAAGGCTTTTTCTTTACTGTTACCTCAGAATACCTATTGAAGGCTTTCTTTGTTGATTGATTCATAGGGAAGGGGACTGGTTAGCAGCAGGAGGTCAACACTCCAGCCTTTTAATTCTTTCAGGATTAGTTGTTTACAACTGAAGATAAAATAAACCCACAAAATGCCTTTCTTCGGTAACCAAGGGATCCAAATAAACTTTGGAAAAAATATCTTTTCTTTCTCCCTTCAATAGAAATGGAAATTTATGTAGGAATGCCAGCTTCAACAGATCTCCTTAGCAACGTGAATCTTTTGCCCCCTTCACTCTGTCTCCTGAAATAATAGCCCTCTGATTGCATAAAGACTTTTCAGATAGGTTGGAGAAGCCAGCTTCAGCTCCTATTTGCTTTTTATCCTTTTCTCTTGGCCTGGAATGTGGGGAATGATGGGAAGGCAGCTCCAGTTTGTTTGGTAATCTTTCCTTAATTGCCTCCATACCCATTGATTTTAGCTACAAAGAAATTTTTAACTGGACCAAAAAAAAAAAAAAAAAAAAGAGTAAGACAAAATCCAAAGATTTCAGCTGGACAAATGAGGAGACATAAGCTTAATGCAAATATGGTGTCCATAGGACTGTGCAAAGGGAAAATCAAAGGCAGGCACACTTTCTGAGCTAAGCCCTCCCTTCCCCCAGCCACCACCCCTTATTCTGTCACTATGCACTTCAACTTGGGTTCCTTAAATCAGGTTTGGCTTCATTTTGCTTGAGAAAACAGTTTTCTGTCCTCCCAAAAGATAGCAAGATGGGTTACAAATAGAGGTGTTTTTGTTACAAGTTATGTGAAAGTTTTTGACTTTCTGTTGTAGCAGAAAAGTTGTGAAGGGAAGAGCCAAAAATACAGAAAATTGCTGTTCCCACTTAAAAAATAGGCTCCTAAGGATGTTAAATGGAGCTTCTATCAACCAATGTTTTAAGACAAAGAGGGACAGTAGGATCAGCCCTGGAATGCTGTACTTGCCTGTTCCAATGTTAGGCAGCTTATTTGTTCGCCTTCAGAGAAGCAGAGGGATAGAAGCAAAATATCTTTCTGAATATTTTTAAAGATCAACTTCATTCTCTCTGGAAAATCAATTACTTTGGGAAAACCACCAAGGACAGTTTTACGGAAGATCATTCTCCAGGATCTTCAGGGCTTAATTAAAAACCTTTGTCTTAGAATTAAAACTACCTTGAAGAGGCAAGGTTTTATTTCAAGAAGGAAAATTTCTGGAATTCATTTTTTTCTGAGGACAACATTCCCTACTTAGGCCCAGTTTCTACTGCAACTTTCCCCTAAGCCATTATTTTAAACTTGCATTTGAATTTTGGTACCAAATATGCCTTGTTTGCTGTTGATAACTGTTTTTGTGGTTTTAAGCTACAGCAGAGCCGTGCCTCTTGTGTCCTGTTACATTGAAGGTTGCGTCAGCACTTCTAGTATAAAGCAGTAATCTGGTTGTCAGTCAGCCAGAATGCTTTTCACTAGAGTCTCAATTGGAGATGTGGAGGATAGCACCAGCATTTATCTTTGCTTGTATGTTTTCTAGGAAGACAAATGAGAAAAGAGTGAATTGGCTGTCACTTGTAGTAGGGTGGGGGAAGTTTGGAATATGCAGTAATCACAAGGCTGCCTGATATTGCATTCTTTTCTAATGATGATTTTCCCCAGTACTTTTGTAAAGCTTTTTAATATGTCTTCAGTCCTATTCCAAGTGTTTATAGTGTTTTATCCACTGCTTCCTGTTTAGTTTGATAACTTTTCCCCTAGAATATAACAGTTAGGGTTTCCCAGCTATAGCAGTTTCACGAGAATACAGAATAAAGGTTTTCTATACTCCACATTAAGAAGTTGTGTCATTCCTAAGATGATTTTATATTTCTGTTCAAAACAATTAATATGTAGCTACTTCCTATGAAGCATGTGGCTTTTTACTGTCTGTTTTTTGATTCAGCAAAATAGGAAACATATAGGTGGCTCAATAAGCAGGTTTAACTGAGAAAGATTAGGGAATATAACAAGGGTGTATTTAACCATTTTTCTATCAACAGAACACTTGATCAAATAGTCCCCTTTTCAAGGAATATTAATAGCATCATTGGTGTACTTTCCTAAGAATAAGCTGCATTTGTAGCATGAGTCATTGGTAGTTTTGAAATGACAGAGCACTCTATGCTAAAACAGGTGAATATTATTATTTTCAGTTGACAGAGTGCTCTTTCAAGAATGCTTACATGTGGTTCATGTTTTTAACGTTAGTATAAAAATTCCCTTTAAAAGGATTTTATGAGTAAGGCTATCTGAGGTGTAATTTAAGATAAATGAAACTGCCTGAACACCTGCAATTCCTGGAAAAATCTAAGATACAGTGATTTCAAGTTCAGATTCATGGCATCTTTGCATACTTTGAGACTACATCTTAATTTGGAAATGGAATTTCATCAGAGAACCTCAAAATATGATTTGGTCCAGGAAGGTTTAGGTGCTCCCAGGAGATGAGTTAACACTGATAAATGTGTTTACAAATAGCAAATTGTCTACTGACTACAAGTATACCCTCTTCTAGTTTCTTGGAAGAGAACATCCCTAGGACAAATGCACTAGTGGGTGGAAAAGTACCAGCACTAGCTAGCACCTTAATTAATAAAACAAAGAAAACCCAGGATAAATTAAATCAAAATGTACATGAGATTTTTTTCCTTTAAGGTCATCTTGAATTTCATATTCACTAAAGGGTATTTTGATTTTTGGTCAAGTAGAATCCTTCTCTTGCTCAGACTCATAGAAAGATTATAGTCTCCAGGGAGTCCCATTGCAGACTCTATTGACTACAAAGGGGTTTTGATAGGAGTGTGAAAACTGGCATTTAAAACAAATGCTGGAATTGCAAAACAAGAAAAACACAACAAGCAAACAAAAACCTTTCTCAAGCAAAAGATCTTTCCTGTTAAAAATAAATGAATTTTAAGATTTTGTTCATTTTGTGTATTAATTATACAGTTTAGAGAGACCTAAGGTATAGCCAATATTTCTAGTTTCTATTAATGAAAGTGCTTGTAGGTATTTCAAAATAAGTCTCTACAATAAGCTTCTGTATGAACTATGCTAAGTTATAGCATAATCTAATTGTATTACAAAGTACTATTATGAAGAATACATGGGACTTCAGCTTCCTTCTGGCCAGAATTTTACCACTCACCAATCATGTCAGCATATAAAGTATACTTAACCTCTTCAGATGGCATGTCATGAAATTTAAATACATGAAACATTGTTCTTTTTTTCATATTATATCTTTAGAAAAGCAAACTCAAAATGTTATTTTTCAGTGCAAGTAATTTTACTTTTTCATTGGATAATGAAGTAATTGTTTTTATGTCAGACTTAAACATTGGTCTGAGTTACATAGCATTTAATAAAGCCCCTGGTAGAACATGGTCAGAGAACTATTATCTTAGAAGCTACATTTTATTCAATAGTATTAAAGGCCAGATACCTCACTTACTCCCAGTGTCACATTAATGACTGTGTAATGTTTCAGAGAATACTATGGATTTTCATAAGTTTGCCAGGCTCTCAGTTTGTGATAAGAGATGACCATTTGCTCATTTCAGTAATTCCAAAAATCTAACTCGACCAATATTTAGTTGTACAAAATAGCTATAT